GTGTGTGTACATGTGCTTGTGTATACTTGTGTGCTTATAAATCTATATATGTATATACATACATATATATTTATATATACATGTGTACACAGGCACACACATTATATCCTTTTATGTGTGATCAATTCAGATAGTGAATGTGGATGCTCCTCTCCTAATATTTTGGTCCAATTTCTATTCTTAGAGCCAAATGGGTCAGTTTTAAGTGAGGAGAGAAAGGAGTGGTTTAGAGAATGTGAAGAAGATAAGCTTCTTTAGTTTCAGATTCATAATAGCAAAAGGCTCCGGATGCTGCCTAGAGTCTGCTGAGTAAACGGGGGTAAAGTGTAATTATGTTGTTCTTGTTATGTGCCGTCAAGTCGGTTCTGACTCACGGCAACCCTATAGGACAGAGTAGAACTGCCCCATAGGGTTTCCAGGGAGCAGCTGGTGGATTCGAAGTGCCGACCTTTTGGTTTAGCAGCCAAGCTTTTAACCACTGCGCCACCAGGGCTCCAAGTGTAATTACAGCAGTCTCAATTTTTTTGATACTAAATCACTGAAAACAGGTGTGAACATACTAATTAAGTGTTCATTATATGGCTGATACATTTTCTAAGATGACATCTCTGATACTCTGTCCTACAGCCAGAAATTTTGATCTCGAGTTATTATTATATTTTACCAACACACATACTGCTAATGTATGATTTTTTTTTTAAACAATAGAAAAGCATACTGGGATGGTTAATGTTAATAATGTGTCAACTTGGCTAGGCCCTGATTCTCAGAGGCTTGCCAGACATTATGTAATCATCCTCCATTTTGTAATCCAATATGAGCAGCCAATCAGTTGGAAGGGGCATTTCCTTGGGGGTGTGGCCTGCATCCAGTATATATGGATGTTCTGGCAAAGCTCATGCTCTCTCTCCATCCTGCATTTCTCTCATCATCCTGTGACCTCCAGTTCTTGGGATGTGAGAAGCCTTCAGCCTGCTGCTGGACTTGCAGATTTTGGATATGCCAATTCCTGCAACCCTGTGAGCCAGCAGCCTGCCACCTGGCCTGCAGATTTTGGGTGCATCAGCCCCTGCATCCACATGAGTCAGGAGACACCTCCAGCCCGCTGCCTGGCCCATGGTTTTGGGACTTTACAACCTCCACAATTGTGTGAGCGATTTCCTAGAAATAAATCTCTGTGTATATATTTATATATACACTTCACTGTTTTCCTCCTCTAGAGAACCCAGCCTAGACATATGCCTAACAAAATAAAGAGGTAGAGGGAAAGATAGGAGAGTAGAGTATGAGAGTAATGGTGGAAATTAGTTTTAGTTAAATTCCAAGAGAAACTATATCTTGGTTCATCTAGTGCTGCTATAACAGAAATACTACAAGTGGATGGTTTTAACAAAGAGTTTATTTTCTCACAGTCCAGTAGGCTACAAGTCCAAATTCAGGGCGTGAGCTCCAGGGGAACGCTTTCTCTGTCAGCTCTGGAGGAAGGTCCGTGTCATCAGTCTTCCCTTGGTCTGGGAGTTTCTCTGCACAGGAACCTCAGGTCCAAAAGATGCACTCTTCTCCTGGCACTGCTTTCTTGGTGGTATGAGGTTCCCATGTCTCTCTGCTCGCTTATCTCTTTTATATCTCAAAAGAGATTGGCTTAAGATACTATCTAATCTTGTAGACCTCATCAACATAATGGCCGCTAATCCATTTTATTACATCATAGTGATAGAGTTTACAACACATAGGGAAATCACATTAGCTGATAAAATGGTAGATAATCATACAATACTGGGAATCGTGACCTAACCAAGTTGATAGATATTTTTTGGGGACACATTTCAATCCATGACAAACTACTATGTAGATGAGCGACTCCTGACCCATAGCCTGCCTCCTCCTTTGTAATGGGTTTTCCTATTTGTTCTGTTACCCAAGAGTTTTGTTCAGCATAACCTACCCAAATTATGAAGATTAACAGCGATGAAAGAAAATACTTTATCACAAGGAAGAGTTGTATTTATGGAAAGTCACTCAGTAGATTGGAGATGCTCCCAATTTTGACAACTGAAGATACTGTAACATGTACATTCTCTACATGGCAAATTTCTTCAAGTGGGCTATTGCATTATTAGACGGTTACCAGATTTAAAGCCCTGTGTGCAGAACTAAAGTGAGGAAAAATGCTTCAGCGAGACTGTAATCTGTGCTTCAGTGGAAAAAGGCCAGAAAAAAAAAATCCCAAATCAGTGGAGCATCAAATACATCATTACTGTTCAGCCTGTCTCCTTGTGACAGGACAGTGTGATGAGGCCTGAGGTGGGAGTATCAGATAAACAACTCTCACACGGATTAAATGTATATATATAAATGAACTGCTAGGTCTAAGCTCACCAAGTCAGCATAGAAATGTGAAGAAAGTTTGGTAGAGAATTCTCTGAATCAGCTGGTCTCCATGTGTACACCTGGCGGCTCGTTTTTCTACCTTGCCTGGCAGATACAGTTGATCCTTATTATTCGTGGATCCTGTATTTGTGAATTCACCTACTTGCTAAAATTTATCTCTAACCCCCAGATCAATCCTTGTGGAGCTTTCGTGGTTGTTCACAGACATGCGCAGAGTGGCGAAAAATTTAAGTTGCCTGATGCATGTGTTGCCAGCCGAGGTCAAACAGGGTGACACTCTTGCCTTCTTGTTTCAGTGAGAAACACTATAAACAAGTGTCCTTTTTACGGTCTATTTAGTGCCACATTTTTCCCACTTGTGTACTCTTTGTTGATGATTTCACTGTTTAAAATGGTCCCAAGCACAGTGCTGAAGTGTTCTCTCGTGCTCTAAGCCCAAGAAGGCTTTGGTGTGCCTCACAGAGACAGTACGCATTTGAGATAAGCTTAGTTCAGGCACGAGTCACAGTGCTTTTGGCTGGAAGTACGATGCTGATGAATCGACAACATATTTTAAACGGAAGCACACATGGAACCAGGGCCTGTGTGGATCGGTTGACAGGAATGTGAGCAGAGGCTCACTGACTCTGGAGGCAGAAGCCTGTGTGATGATTTCACCAGTGATGTTTCTGAAATTTTGTTCTGGATGCGACTGTTACGCATGGAGGCTCCCGGTCCCATCCCTTGCACTCTGATTCAGTACGTCTGGGATGGTAATTCTGATGCATCGCGAGGATAGAGAACTACTGACTTAGACTGTCCGCAAGTGGCATACATACTCTAAAGGGGGGTATCTTACTGAGGGACTTCCAATTATTGCTTGTCTCCTGATTTTACAGATTCATTAATTCAGCAAATATTTATCCAGTGCCTACTCTGTGCCAGATGCTGAGCTAGGCAGTGGGATTCTCACAGTGAACAGGATTGACATGGTTTTCGCCCTCATGAAGTAGGGAGAAAATAAGTAAAAAAATTAAAAATTATATAAGAACTGTGAAGGACACAGCAGGATACTATAATGGAGAATAATGGGGGCAAGGAGAATAAAGAATATTTAAAATAAAAAGATAATTATGGATAGTCACTTTGAGGAGGCAGCATTTAAACAAAGACGTGTATTAAAAGGAAGCAGACGTATGAAGAGCATGCTAGGCAGTATGAAAAGCTTGTGCAAAGGCACTGAGGCAGGAACAACCTTGATGTGCTTCAAGAACAGAAAGAAGGCCAAGGTGGCTGTGCCCCACAAGCCAGGGGAAGAGAGGTGTGAGATTAGTCAGGTAAGCGTTAGGTCATGGCCCCTTGGGGGCCGTGGTAAGGCGTAATGGATTTAGAGTGGGTGGGGAATCAAAAGTTTAGTTGGACATAGGAGTCCGGAGTTGAGAGAAGAAGCCTAGATTGGGACATGAGTATGGGAGTTATTAGCGTATTGATGGAAGCCACGGGAATGGGTAGTCTAACCCAGGGAGAGGCTTTAGAGAGAGAATACAGGTGAGCCTAGAGAAGGAGACCCAGGGCAGGTGGTAGGGAGAGTGGGAGGAGGTAGGAGGAAGACTAGGAGATCGTGGGCTCACGGAAGCCACTAGCAGAGAATGTTCAGAGAGGGAGGGTGCGATTGTGTCATTGCCGCTGAAAGGTCTAGAACAGCCCTGTCCAGTACAGCAGCCACTAGCTGCAAGTGGCTATTGAACACTTGAAACGTGACTAGTCCAAAGTGAGATGTATTCTAAGTGTAAAATGAAATGCATACCAGATTTTGAAGATCTAGTACAAAAATGAATGTAAAATATCTCATTAATGTTTTTTAGTAATGATTACATGTTGATATGATCGTATTTGGAAAAATTGGATTAAATAAAATATGTTACCAAAATCTCACCTGTTTCGTTGTACTGTACTTTTTAAAAATATGGCTATTAGAAAATTTAAAATTACGTATGTGACCTGCATTGTATTTCTGTTGCACAGTTTGACGATGTGGAGGTCATTAGCAGCCTTGATAAGAGTGGACTGCCTGAGATTAAGTAATACCTAGCAGATTGTTTAAGGAGCCCTGGTGGAGTTAACTTAGCTGCTAAACCGAAAGAGTGGTGGTTTTAACCCACCAGCGGCTCTGGGGTAGAAAGACCTGGCGATCTCTTCTTGTAAAGATCCCGAACAAAACAAAACCGAACAAAAACCAAACCTGTTGCCTTTGAGTTGATTCCAATTCAAGAGTTCTATCTACTCTGTCACGTAGGGTCGCTATGAGTCAAAAATCAACTCTATGGCACCCAGTATCAACAACAGGAGACTGTTCATACTCAGATAAGGCTGAATCATGTGACATAATAGTATTATGCCTAAAATTAAAAAACAAAATTCATCACCACATCTTCTAGACTTTTTGATGTGTACATAAGTGATTTAATAATTTCACATAAATTGAGATATATAATATGTACATATTTAAATAAAATCCTTTGAAATCAGCTCTCAAAGGTGGTTTTAAATTTTTTTAACTGTATTTTCTTTCTTTTTTGTCTTTTTATTAAAAAAAAAAAATTTTTTTTTTTTTTTGCATACCTGGCCAGGAAACTTCACGGTGTTATGGTCAACTTGCCGCACAACGGTGTTCAAATCTGTCACCAACAGGTTCATTAAAAACCTGGCCTGCTCGGGGATTTGTGCCAACCTGGTCTGTGTGCCCTTCGACATCGTCCTCAGCACCAGCCCTCACTGCTGCTGGTGGATCTACACCATGCTCTTCTGCAAGATCGTCAAATTTTTGCACAAAGTCTTCTGTTCCGTGACTATCCTCAGCTTCCCTGCCATTGCTTTGGACAGGTAAGATCAAGTAGCCAGGGGCTCTGCCCCTTCCTTCCTCCATCCCTCCCTCCCTCTCTCCCTTTTTCCCTCCCTGCCTCCCATCCTTCCTTCCTCCCTCTCTTTCTTCCTTCTTCCCTCCCTCCTTCCCTCCCTCCTTCCCACCCTCCTTCCCTTTCTTCTTTCCTGTGTATTGAAAAATGAGCATCATGAAGCAAATGGGGAGTAGTCAGTGTTCTGCACACTGGTTTTTAGTCAGCTTGTGGTCAGCAGAAAGAGAATGAATGGCTAAAGCAGATGCTTCACAAACACAGGCTGATGTACCAGCAGCCACAGAAAACAGGACCCCTGAGGAAAGCCCTGGGGATGGGGGGAGACCTCCTGAGGGTGCTGGGGCAGAGCTACTGGATCACGCTGCGGTTTCAGCTTGCTTGGAATTGGTGAGATTCACACTGCAGTTTGTAGTAGATTGCTCATCTGATTTGGTAACTCTGCAATTAGGCCTCCTCGATGCAGGATGAAAACATTTCTGGGAGAACAAAGGCATGAACCAGTGATTATTCAATGCCTAAACACTCCAGTGGGACCTGGCCAGATAACACCAGAATTCCTCTGGAGGATTTATTTCCAAGGCCTCCCATTGTGGTGGTTTCCTTTTCTTGCGCTCTTTAAAAGGATGTTCACTTGGAAATGATATCTTATAGCCTTGCTACTTTATGTTTATGTTTATTTATATATATTACGTTGTTGTTATTGTTAGGTACTGTTGAGTTGGCCACAACTCACAGCGACCTTGTAGATAGCAGAGAAGTGCTGCCCGGTCCTGCACAGTCCTCATAATCACTGCTGTGTTTGAGCCCATTGTTGCAGTTGCTGTGTCAGTCCATCTCGTTGAGGGGCTTCCTTTTTTTCACTGACCCTCTACTTTACCAAACATGATGTCCTTCTCCAGCAATTGGTCCCTCCTGATGCCATGTCCAAAGTACGCCAGACAAAGTCTCACCATCCTTACCTCTAAGGCGCATTCTGGCTGTCCTTCCAAGACAGATTTGTTCCTTCTTCTTGCAGTCCATGGTATATTCGATATTCTTTGCCAACACCACAATTCGGATGCGTCAATTCTTCTTCGGTCCAGCTTTCATGTGCGCGTGAGGCGACTGAACATACCATAGTTTGGGTCAGGCACACCTTAGTCCTCAAAGTGACACCTTTACTTTTTAACACCTTAAAGAGGTCTTTTGCAGCATATTCGCCCAATGCAATACATCATTTGATTTCTTGACATCTGCTTCCGGGGGCATTGATTGTTGATACAAGGAGAATGAAATCCTTGACAACTTCAGTCTTTTCGCCGTCTGTCAGTTGGTCCTACTGTGGTGGCTTGGGTGATGCTGGAAGCTGTACCACTGGTATCTCAAATACCAGTAGAGTTACGCAGGGTGGACAGGTTTTAGTGGAGCTTCCAGACTAAGACAGACTAAGACAAAGGCCTGGCAATCTGCTTCCGAAAATTAGCCAATGAAAATCTTATTGATATATATTATTATATGTTATATATAATATATAAACGTTTACACATTTTATATTATTATATATTATGTATCATCATATGAAGGAGGCTTGGTGGTGCAGTGGTTAAGTGCTGAGCTGCTCATCGAAAGGTTGGTGGTTAGAACCCACCAGCTGTTCTGCCCGAGAAAGATGTGTCATTCTGCTTTAATAAAGATTACAGCCATGGAAATTCTGTTGGGCAGTTATACTGTGTCCTATAGAGTTGCTATGAGTTGCAATCAACTCGATGGCAATGGGTATTATTATATAAAAATTATATCTATATTATGTATTTGTACATTTATATAACTTTATGTTAAGCGTAAAGATCACAGTAATCAACAGCTTTCTGCCTTTCCTCCGTAGTCACGGGTACTTTATGAACACAGTTTAAATGATAATAGACTTTAGACAATAGAATTAAATAAGCAAACAAGAATTGAAAAGTATTTTATACCCCTTGGTACTTTTGATTTTAAGATTTACAGAAAGGAAATATTGCTGAAGAGAAAGTTTTAGAAAGAATCACATGATCATCTCAGTCAACACAGAAAAGACATTTGACAAAGTCCAACACCCATTCCTGATAAAAATTCTCAATAAAATACGAATTAAAGGGAAATTCCTCAACAAAATAAAGGGGATTTATACAAAACCAACAGCCAACATCATTCTCAATGGTGAGAGACCGGAAGCATTCCCCTTGAGAACGGAAACCAGACAAGGATGCCCTTTATCACCAGTGTTATTCAACATCGTGCTGGAAGTCCTAGCTAGGGCAGTAAGGCAAGAAAAAGAAATAAAGAACATCCAAATTGGTAAGGAAGAGGAAGAACTATTCCTATTCGAAGATGATATGATCCTGTACATAGAAAACCCCAAAGAATCCACAAGAAAGCTACAAGAACTAATAGAAGATTTCAATGAAGTGGCAGGATGCAAGATTAACATACAAAAATCAGTTGGATTACTCTTCACCAACAAAGAGAACCTCGAAAAGGAAATCAGGAAATCAATACCATTTACAGTAGTCCCCCAAAAGATAAACTACTTAGGAATAAATCTAACCAGGGACATAAAAGACCCATACAAAGAAAACTACAGAACACTATTGCAAGAAACCAAAAGGGACCTACATAAATGAAAAAACATATCATGCTCATTTATAGGAAGACTCAGCATTATGAAAATGTCAATACTACCCAAAGCGATCTACAGATATAATGCAATCCGGATCCAAATTGCAACAGCATTCTTTAGTGAGATGGAGAAGCTAATCACCAAATTTATATGGAAAGGATAGAGACCCAGATGAGTAAAGCATTATTGAAGAAAAAGAACAAAGTGGGGGGCCTCACACTACCTGATCTCAGAACCTACTATACAGCCACGGTAGTCAAAACAGAGTGGTACTGGTACAACAGACACATAGTCCAATGAAACAGAACTAAGAACCTGGATGTAAATCTGTCCATCTACAGGCAGCTGATATCTGACAAACGGCCAAAGTCCATTAAATGGGGAAAAGACAGTCTCTTTAACAAACGGTGCTGGCATAACTGTATGTCCATCTATAAAAAAATGAAACAGGATCCATACCTCACACTATACACAAAAAATAACTCAAAATGGATCAAAGACCCTGACGATACTGGCACTAATCAAAAGAACAGAAGATAATAAATATTTGAGAGGTCGTGGGGAGATTGGAACTCTTATGCATTGCTGATAGGAAGGTAAAATGGTACAACCACTATGGAAAACAATATGGAGCCTTCTTAAAAAGCTAGAAATAACCATTTTGGAAAACTGTATGGAGCTTCCTTAAAAAGCTAGAAAAAGAAATACCATCCAATCCAGCAATCCCACTCCTAGGAGTATATTCTAGAGAAATGAGAGCCATCACACGAATAGACATATGCACACCCATGTTCATGGCAGCATTATTCACAATAGCAAAAAGATGGAAACAACCTAAGCACCCATCAACAGATGAATGGATAAAGAAATTATGGTGCATACAGACAATGGAGTACTACCCAACGATGATGAACCTTGATCAATCTGCGAAGCATCTCACAACATGAATGAATCTGGAGAGCATTATGCTAGGTGAAATAAATCAATCACAAAAGGACAAATATTGTTTGAGACCACTATTAGAAAAACCTAGGAAAAGGTTTACGTACAGAAAAAAACAATCTTTGGTGGTTACGAGGGAAGGGAGGGTTGGAGAGAGGAAATCACTAACTAGATAGCATCCAGGTGTTAACTTTGGTGAAAGGAAAGACAACACACAATATAGAGAAAGTCAGCACAACTTGACCAGAACAATGTCATAGAAGCTTCCTAGACACATCCAAACACCTTGAGGGACTGAGTTACTGGGGCTGAGAGCTGGGTACCATGGTCTCAGGGGACATCTAGGTCAATTGGCATAACATAGTTCATAAAGAAAATGTTCTACATCCTACTTTGCTGAGTAGCATCTGGGGTCTTAAAAGCTTGTGGGTGGCCATCTAAGATACATTTATTGGTCCCATCCCATCCGGAGAAGGGAGAATGAAGAAAACCAAAGACACAAGGAAAATATTAGCCCAGAGGACTAAAGGACTGCATGAACCACAGCCTCCACCAGCCTGAGCCCAGAAGAACTAGATAATGCCCAGCTACTACCACCGACTGTTCTGACAGGGATCACATTAAAGACTTCCGAACAGAGCAGGAGAAAAATACAGAACAAAATTCAAATTCACAAAAAAAAAAAAGACCAGACTTACTGGTCTGACAGAGACTGGAGGAACCCCCAAGACTATGGCCCCTGGACACCCTGCTAACTCAGAACTGGAGCCACTCCCGAAGCCCACTTTTCAGACAAAGATTAGACAGGCCTAGAAAACAAACAGTAACACGTGAGGAACGTGCTTCTTAGTTCAATCAAACATAGGAGACCAGTTGGGCAACTCCTGCCCAAAAGCAAGACGAAAAGGCAGGAAGGGACAGGAAAACTGGATGAATGGACACAGGGATCCTGGGGTGGAAAGGGGGAGGGTGCTGTCCCATTGCAGAGATTGCAGCCAATATCACAAAACAATATGTGTATAAACTTTTGAGTAAGAAAGTAACTTGAGCTGTAAACTTTCACCTAAAGCACAATAAAATAATAAGAAGAAAAGAATCAGTGAATTACTCATGACCCGTGGTTGGACTGTTGCTGTGGTTAGTTGCTGTCTAGTTGGCTCTGATTCATGGCAACCTTACGTATAACAGAACGATACCTAGCCTGTTTGTGCATCGTCTTCACGATCATTGGTGTGCTTGAGGTCATTGTTACGGGCACTGTGTATTTTGAGCGCCTTCTAACCTAGGGGGCTCATCTTCCAGTAATATATTGAATGATATTCTTTTGTGATCCATAGGATTTGCATTGGATAATTTTTGGAAGTAGCTCACCAGACCTTTCTTCCTAG